TCCGGGGGGAGTATGGTCGCAAGGCTTGAACTGAACGGAACTGACGGAAGGGCACCACCCTTCAATCCTAAGCCCCTCAACCCTTAATTCACCGCCTTAACCCTAAACCCTCAAGGCCTAAACCTGTTAGCTCTTTGGGCCCGTGACTCGGGTCCCCCTGTTTATCTTGTGGGAACAAGCTCGATGCATTACAGAGACGATGAGGTTTCAGAAAGAATAGCCCCTAAACCATAAACCCTAAACCCTAAACCTTATAGACCCTAAACCTATGTGTTCTTGAAAAGACCCCGGGCGCTGAGTCGACCAAAAAATCCTTCCACACTTTGGCGCGGGACTTCGAGTTGTTTGAAGGTTTCAGGGTTTAGGGTTTAAAGTTTAGGCTTTAGGGGTTTAGGGTGTAGGGGTTTAGGGTTTAGGGGTTTCGGGTTTATATAGGGTTTCGGATTGATGGTTACCATGTTCCAACATGTTAAAGAGCCTGAACCCCAAACCCCATAATAAGACGTTTGATAGGTAATAAGCGCACTGCACCTTTAGGGTCTACAGTAGGGTCTAGGGCTTTGTGTTTAGCGGCAAGGTTCCACTCACCAAGAAGCGGCCCTTTCATGGTGGACAGAAGCCTGATCTTGCGGACCTGGACGTCTATGGTGTTTCTTGGAGCTCGTATATACCATCTTGAATATCTAGAATAGTTTTTTTTTTGGGGGGGGGGCATATTGTGCTGCTGCCGTGGTGTTTCTTGGTTCCCTAGGCTTCAAGCATGTAGTATCTATGGACGTCACAGCCCCAAATGTGTGTTACTGTTTGTATACTTGCAGCTTAAAGGTCGCCACATCGAAAGTGCATGGTCGCAGGTTGGGATGAGTTGGAAATACGGCCCGCTACAGGCCCTCGCATTTCCAAGCCCGAAGAAGGGGCATGACCTCCTTGTCTGTATAGGGACGCTGGTGTTCGCATTCCTGTGATATTCCTGATTAAATAGGGGTCCTACTTTTCACCACGGCTCTTTGTGCTTCTGGTTATGAATCGTCAGGAGTTTAGGCCCAAAAGCCCACACCCAAGGAACTGCGTCATGTCTTGGCAGATGACATATGCAAGTTGTTCCAAACTTCCTTTCAAGGGGTGGGAACGTTTTGGGTAGATGTTTGAAACTGCTGCCAGTTAGACTCACCCAGAAGCATCCAATGAATCGGTAGGGTGTGGTGCGATATTCCAGCACTTCATGTTCAGGTTTCAGCGACTGGTGCACGATAATTCAGCCCAAGCCATGCTAACACAAATTTTTGAGCAGTATACAAGTAGCAACCAGGGTACTGGTGTTCGTTGACTGAGCATGCCTACAGTAGCATTGTCGCACGTCTTTTCCACTGCTATGCTCCCGAAATTTCGTTTCACCATTCCTGAATCCTGGCTAGCGCGATACCGTATAGCCTGCACCCTGAACGACCCTCCCTAAACCCTAAACCCTCAACCCTCAACCCTAAACCCTCAACCCTAAACCCTAAACCCTAAACCCCAAATCTCGGTCACGGCATCTGCAAGGTTTTGCAGTCCATTCGAGGACCGAGGGGGGCGGGGAAGGCCTTGATGAGACGCCTCTTGAGGTTCGGGTGTGTACAGCATTTATAGGGTTTAGGGTTTGGGGTTTTGGTTTAGGGTTCATATATTTATAGTGATTCCCAGAAAGACGGCAACAGCTACTTCAAGGGGCTCCTTTTAAAGGGCTTATGGTTTAGGGTTTAGGATTTTGGGAGCTCCTTTTAAAGGGCTTAGGGTTTAGGGTTTAGGGTCTATAGTGAATCAGAGAAAGTTGGAGCATGTATTTTGGTACGATTAGTGCTGGGATTATACATGCTTTAACCTTAAGGGCATGAGGATATCGATGTTCCAACTTTCTGGCTTCTACTGTAGGGTTGAGGCTGTACCGGCGTTTGTAACACCGTTGAAAACATCTTTACTACCTGCTACGAAGCCTTTGCAAAACCGTTACGGAACCGTTTGTTTCTAGGATAAGGTCGCTACCTGGACCCGAAAGAACCCACGATTTCCTTATAATATAGGTCCTAAAACAAAATCGCAAAGAACCTACCTTTTTAGGGTTCTTTATGATGATTTCCTTATATGATACAGGTCCTAAACCAAAGTATATTTTAGGTCCTTTTAGGGTCCAGGTATACCCTGAAGCTCTTCAGTTCTCCCCCATTGGATCCCAGGTTGAGTTTGGGAAACCCTGGAACCGCTGCCCCAATATTCTGGGGCTGTCAGCTGAAATTTAGGGTTTAGGGCTTAGGGCTCATGAAGGCATACTATATTGCACGACAATCTAGTCCTAAACCCTAAACTCTACGGTTTAGGGTTTAGGGTTTAGGGATACCCCTAAACCCCTAAACCCTAAACCCTAAACCCCTAAACCCCAAACCCCTAAACCCCAAACCCCTAAACCCTAAACCCTAAACCCCTAAACCCTAAACCCCCCTTAAATTGAAGCTTAGGTTTCTAGGCCTTTCCATGGGGCCATAACTTTTTGCAAGCGCTTGCCGTACATGGCAAGGTTGGTTCGTACATTTGCGCGTGCGCAGGCACACGCATACGCAAATACCTTCAAGTACCGATACATCATGCATGCACAAACATATGTCTGTGAGTGTGTGAAACTGTGTGTATATGACTAGCATGAGAATGTAATATGTATCTATGTGTGTATACAGTATACATATGTGTAAAACACAAGCACTCACTATACACTCCGGGCATGTGGAAATAAATAAGCCCTACATCGTAGCCCTAACTAAACCTAAAGCCTCAATCCCGATTGTAATCCTGAATGGTTACACCCTATACCCTAAAGCCCCAAACCGCCTCAGGACATGAGGTCTACCGAGACATGCTTGAGAACACCAAGATTTCTGACTGGATGGGACGGATGGATGCTGCTACGGGCAAAACTTCCGAGATCCCTGGCGGCCTTGGTGATGATGGGTTTAGGGTTTATAGGGTTTTAGGGTATAGGGTTTTAGGGTTTGGGGTGTAGGGTTTAGGTTTTAGGGTTTAGGGTTCAGGGTTTAAGGTTTAGGTTTTAGGGTTTAGGGTTCAGGGTTTAAGGTTTAGGATTTAGGGTTTAGGGTTTAGGGCTCTAAAGAGGCAAGTACGACAGGACCATAGACTCAAGGGGTCCAAATAATTACCAGTACTATTTAGTGGGTTCCCGATATAACTATAGCATTATATACCCCCACGACACTGTTCTAAGTATTAAGGGCCCTACGTTAGCCTTACAGTGTTTATGGTTGTTTTCAACACTTGTAAATGCAGATATACACATATAGGGACGCACAGAATCAATCATACTTGGGAAGCCCATGGCACGAGGGAAGCGGGTTCAGGTTGTTCGGCATTGGGCAAACCCTAAACCCCGGTATACACCCTAATCTCTACACCGTGCTCTTATGGTTCTTCAGACTTGAGCCATCAACCCTAACCCCTAAACCCTAAACCCTAAACCCTAAACCCTAAACTCCTAAACCCCTAAACCCCTAAACCCCTAAACCCTAAACCCCTAAACCCCTAAACCCTAGGATTGCAGCGGCTTTCGGTTTAGAGGCAATGCAGAAATAGGAGCCCAGGGTTCGGGGTTCATTTCTGGATAATTATATAGGTTCATTAGATTCTTATAATATATATATATATATATATTCTGTATATGTATATATATATATGTTCGATTCTATATATATATATATATATTCTATATATATATATAGAGAGAGAGAGATAGCCGGTATGAAACTGTTGAATGCAGCCGCTCCCCCCCCCCAACAAAAAAAGAAAAAGCAAAGGGTCAAAGCGACTAAACTTATCAAGGCCCGTACGGTTCAGGGCTTTGAACCTTGAGCCCCTTGCTACTTTTGAAGGCCACTGGGGTTCAGGGTGTAGTTTAGGATTTAGGGTTTAGGTAGGCCTTTGTCTAAGGACTTTAGGAGGGACCCCTGCTAAGGACCCTTAATCCCATTACCTTAAATAACCATTGTATAGTCCTTATATACCACTTATATAGCCAGGTAGTCTTCATATTAACCCCAATAACCTACAAGGGTCCCTATTAAGGGTCCCTCCTAAAGCCCTTAGACTTTGGGACGAACACAGGAACCCGTCTCCCCATTGTCTCTGTGGTGTGTGGGGTGGTTTGCAGAGGGCGTGTATGTTTTTAGCCCCCTAAACCCTAAACCCTAAACCCTAAACCCTAAACCCTAAACCCTAAACCCAGATAAAAGGGTTCGGGGCTCCTTAGGTAAACCCTAAACTGCCGTAAACCCTACGGGGACCCCAAAGAACCTACCCTTGTAGGGTTCCTTTTTATGATTTCCTTATATAGGTCATGAAAAAGTAGGATATTTAGGTCCTGGTAAATCCTCAACCTTAAACCCTAAATCCTAAACCCTACAGCCCTCGCATACCAAATGTAAGGTAGACTCCGGCAGACTGCGACTTGCCGAAAGTGATCCTCTGCCTGGCGTTTAGTAGCTGCGTAGCCCTAAACTCTAAACCCTAGACCCTAAGCCCTAAAACCCTAAATCCCATACCCCAAACCCTAAACCCCAAACCCTAAACCCCAAACGCTAAACCCCAAACCCCTAAACCTTCAACCCGTCAAGCTTCAACCCGTGGCCCGAACCGAGAAAGAGGTCTAAGTTAGGGTCCTTTTATAAGGGTGCCGTGCTATATCTGGGACCTAAAGCAGGACCCGAATTTAGAGAAAAACCCACTTAAAACGAGATATGCAGGGGTTTTTAGGGTTTTGGGGTGTTTAGGGAGGTCTCAGCATTGGAGACAGAGATTGGCAGCATGTCGATGGCAGCTTAGATACTGGGCTGCCAGTACACTAAACCCAACACCAAAAACCCCTAAACCCTAAACCCCTAAACCCTAAAACCCTAAACCCTAAACCCTAAACCCTAAACCCAACACACCCTAAACCTACAGTCCTAACCCACCTTCGCCTTCATTCCCCAGTGCGCGAAGATCCCGACGCATGTTTCGGGCTGATGTTGGGCAGCTGCTGCACCGGTGATGTTTAGGGTTTAGGGTT